AGAGCTATATCTTTATCGCTATTGAGTCTGCACTCGTCAAAATCACCATTATAAAACGAGACGATTTTCTTCAAATGTACTGTCGATTCAGTATCAAATCTTCTAGTCCGGGAGCAAATAACATGATCAAACATTTCATAATATATTTTCCGAAAATACTATTCAGGTGTGGTTAATACAGGACTTTCAATTGGACTTTTTTTTCCTCTAAAAATTTTTCAGGTGGGTAATTACCCACCTTTAAAAATTTCAGGTGGGTAGTACTACCCACCATACCCATGTATTCCGCCGCCACTGCATATGTATGCATGTATTTGTAAACCAATATATAGAACCCTACCAGATCGTATACGTTATTTGCCAGGAAATGATACCCTGTAAACTAGGTTAAGTTTCCATGAACTTCTTAAAAATAATGTGAAAATTCTATCGCATACGACCTAAGTAGACTTTAGGTGCATCGTTCGAGTTAACGATTACTTCTCATTGCTCTGAGTATAAGCGTGTTACTTTGTATACTCACTTTAACATGGGATATCCTAGGAGGGTTAGTTACCCCTTTAAACTCCCAAACGAGCAATGAGAGTGTACAAACTAGGGTGTTCGATTATTTGCCTTTTTTCGAAAGCCGGTTTTCGAGTTATTCGAAAAATTGCAAACTGAAAAAAAACGGTTCCTGGTTTTGAAATTAAGAAAAAACGGATAAACCGGTTTTATTTTAAATATATTTATACAGTGAAAATGTTTGTGTTGGAATGAAGTATGAAAAAAACGGTTCCTGATTTTGAAATTAAGAAAAAACGGATATATTACAATAAAACTATTAACGTAAATATACCTTTTATTTAGAAAAGACCAAAGCACAATCAAAAGCAAGATCAAAAGTAAAAAATAAAAATCAATGAAAAATTCACATTTGGTATTTCTTAACCTTTTTTTAATACCTTATCGCATTATTGACGCTACACAGTGCTGTGCGGGCGGGCAAAAATTTTCGTTGTACAAAATCTAGACGTTCTGTTGGAAATTTTTTTATAAAATTAATAATACACAGCAAAAAGGCACCTGAAGTTGACGCATTTTAAATTAAATTTTTTAGTCAGAGTCACATCATTTTTCGGCTTCACACGGAAAAATTTGCCAAAAATACAAGTTATGAGATATTAAGACACATTTATAATTTTTCTGTTTAAAATTGTTTAAGATAACTGCAAAAAATTAATTTGTTAAAAAAATTTAATTCTGTAGTTAAACTCGCTATATTTTAAGTGCAAATTTATTTTGTTGAAAACAAAAATATTACTAAAGTTTAAAGGAGTAAATCTAAAAATCATGTTTTATTTATTCCATAGGTCAAAAAAAGTATGCTACTTTCTTGCACCTTGCAAAATAATCTGCTTTTGGTAAGGGTATACAAATGATAAATATAGCAAGAAAGACGTGAGTGCGAAGAGCTTGAAATGCTGGTCGACAGAAGAATGCTCGAAAATTTTACCAGAGAGTTAGGCGACTTACGGAAGGTTTCAAGACCAGGGCGTAATCCTGTAAGAACAACAATAGCGACCTAGTTACCGATGTTCAGAACGTACTTATCTTACGGAAGAAACACTTTTCTACCATACTGAATGGAAGCAGCACAGAAAGTTGTGGAGTATAACCCGAGCTCCCAGTCGATGATGACGGAGTCGATGCTCCACCGCTTGCTATGACCAGGTACGAATAGCAATAACGCGTCTGAAAACAACAAAGCTGCTGAAGCTGACAGCCTGCCAGCAGAGCTATTCAAGTTCTGTGGCGATGAGTTGATAAGATGCATGCATCAACTCTTGTGCAGAATATGGTCAGATGAACGCATGCCCGACGACTGGAATTTAAGTATGCTGTGCCCAATCCACAAGAAAGGTGACCCCGCCATTCGCGCCAACTACCGCGGGATCAGCCTTCTAAGCATAGGTTACAAGGTCTTATCGAGCGTATTGTGCGAAAGCCTGAAGCCTACCGTCAATGAACTGACTGGGCCTTATCAGTGTGTTGTTGTTGTTGTAGCAGCATACAAGTTCCCCAAAGAGTTTTTGGGGTGTGTTGCTGGAGTGACAGTCCTTGGCCTAATATAAATCTGGGTCGTTCCGGTTACGCAGACCCGACTGTCGTGGCAAATCCACTATAGACCAGGTATTCACAATGGTATTCACAATACCCCAAATCTTGGAAAAGACCCGCGAGAAAAGGATCGACGCTCACCACCTATTTGCCTATACGCCGCTATGTCTTAATTTGGCACCGCCTTAAACTGATACGGTTGTGTAAAAAGACGTTGAGCAATATCACCAGATCCGTCAGATTTGGGAATGAAAGACCTCTCCGAGCTGTTCGCCACCAAACGGGATTTCAGAAANAATCTGGGTCGTTCCGGTTACGCAGACCCGACTGTCGTGGCAAATCCACTATAGACCAGGTATTCACAATGGTATTCACAATACCCCAAATCTTGGAAAAGCCCCGCGAGAAAAGGATCGACGCTCACCACCTATTTGCCTATACGCCGCTATGTCTTAATTTGGCACCGCCTTAAACTGATACGGTTGTGTAAAAAGACGTTGAGCAATATCACCAGATCCGTCAGATTTGGGAATGAAAGACCTCTCCGAGCTGTTCGCCACCAAACGGGATTTCAGAAAGGGCGACTCCCTATCATGTTCAGCGTGCAATTTCTGGCTTATGCCGATGACATCGATATAATCGGTAACAAAAACCGCGAAGTCTGTGCTGCCTTTTCCAAGATGGATAAGGAAGAAAAGCGAAAGGGTCTGATGATAAACGAGGACAAGACGAAGTATCACATACGCGCCTTGGCACCCACGTCGCTATTGACAGTTATAATTTCGAGAAAGTTGAGAACTTCGTTTACTTGGTAACCAGCATTAACACCGATAATAATGTCAGCTTGGAAATCCAACGCAGA